TGTTTTAGGTGTTTGAGGAGTGAACCCATAGATGAAAAATCTCTCTTTCTGTCTCTCCTTCTCTCTGTAAATCTGATCTGTCTTTCCAATAAAAATTAATAAATCTGAAAAAAGAGAAAAGTATAGTATATAATAAAAGGTGACCAAAGCTTCAACAGTTAAGGCAAGGATGGCCAATACCTGGTCCATATAAACGTAATGATCTATACCCTTTGTCCACAACAACAGACATGGCTCATTGACCACTGCCCTCTTCCTTAATTAGCCTAATTTGCATCCTGATTTATTTTTTGAATATGTTAGAAGCCTGTTGCCTGGTTTCCAAATGTTTGGAAGGAATTTTGCACTTCACTATTTTGATTTCTAGTTTAATTCTGTAACATGCTGTATGTGATTTCAGTCCTTTGAATTTATTAAGTCTTGCTTTATGGTCAGACCTGTGAGCTGTTTGTGTGAATATTGCATGGGCACGTCAAAAGAATAGATGTGCTGTTATTGTGTATAGTGTTCTGTAAAGATTGTTTAGGTGGGATGCGTAAGGGTGTTTCAGATCTTCTCTGTCCTTACTCCAATATGGGATAGAAAGATGGAAAATTAGTGGCACTTTTCTGTACTTCCCCTTATCCCCTGCTGTTCTTTTCTTTTTCTTTAAAAATGATTTATTTATTTATTTATTTTATTATAAAGTCAGATATATAGAGAGGAGGAGAGACAGAGAGAAAGATCTTCCGTCCAACGAAAGTGAGCCGCAACAGCCGATGCTGCGCCAATCCGAAGCCAGGAACCAGGAACCTCTTCCAGGTCTCCAATGCAGGTGCAGAGTCTCAAAGCTTTGGGCCATCCTCGACTGCTTTCCCAGTCCACAAGCAGGGTTCTGGATGGGAAGCAGGGCTGCCGGGATTAGAACCGGCACCCATATGGGATCCCAGTGCATTCAAGGCAAGAACTTTAGCCACTAGGCCACGCAGCTGGGCCCTCCTGTTGTGTTCTAATCACTCCCTGGGAGGGGTGTGTTTAAGGAACCTAGGTATGGTGGTGGGTTTGCCTTTTTCTCCTTTTTTGGTCTGTCATTTTTCACTTACTGCTTAATCCCTAGCTCTCTCCTCGCCAGGGCAGCGCTGCTGGCTTGATTTGTTCTTCCATGAAAGGCCACAGCTCCTGGTAGTGGCTATACAGTTAACTTTCTTCACTGGAACTCTGCCTTCTCCCCTTTGGGCCTAGGGTCATAGTGGCTTTCTAGTATATTGGTTTCAAGGACCTTGTTATTTTCCCCAAACAACCCACCTCTTCATGAATGATCCCTTGGTTATACTCATCTCAGTTACTCAGTTTCATTCCTGCTGGGAGGCTGCTTCATGAATAGAACAACATTGTATACAAAGGAAAACCAAGTGGAAAAGCTTAAAATGGATCCAGCTTGTTTAAGGAATAGTTTGGAAACAGTTGTGGGTTGAGTATAATGGGCAGGGGAGGTCAGAAAGGAAAAGGAGGAGCCAGACCAGAGAGAACCTTAGGAGCTGTTGCAGACTGAGGAGTGAGTAAGGGCTGGCATTGCTTTAGTATGATTTTATTAGAATCACTGTGGCTGCTCTGTTGACACCAGACGATAGAGGAACAAGGGCAGCAAGAAGCGATCTCTTACGGAGTGAGATTGAATGCTGACTTGGACTAGCATGAATTGGGGCATAGGAAGAAAAGTTAAGAAGGACTCCTTGCATGTTGATCTGAGCAATTGGAAGGATTTAGCACAGTTGGGGGATACCACAGGGGCCTATTTTGATGGAAAGATCAGACGTTCAATTCTGTATACTCAGAAAAAAATATCCTTCCTCCTTAAAGACAATCCTCAACAAAGAGGTTATTTACAGATGTATTATAGTTGGTGATTGCATTTGGGGCATCTGCTTCTGCTTTCCCCAGGTTCATCAGGAGAGTAGTAAGTTGGAGTAGAGCAGCTGGGACTTGAACTGGGACCAGTATTGGATGTTGGCATCACAGGTGGTACCTTAATCTGCTGTGAAATTTATTTTTATAAGAAGTGTGAGGTGGGACTCTTTATTTGTAAACAAATTTACAGCCAGCTGTGAAGTTCCTGTGATGTGTAATCTGTGTTTTTCCTAGGTTAGCTATCAGAATGATTTGGTCAGACCTGCTACTGATGCCAAGATTTATAATGAGATCTTGTGCCTGAAACTGTTCTAATGTTCATGTTAATTACTTGGCACATGTTTTGTCAGGAGACCAAAAATTAGTGTTTTCAGGAAGTGAAAACATTCCTGAATGTACCTCATTTGCAAGTACCCAAACTGAAATTCCTTACAGTCCCTTCGTATCAAATGCCAATAGGTACCACTCATATTGTAAGCAAACTTATCCTTTAAAAATTTACTTTAAAAAGTGACTAATTTGCATAGGAAGGTAGGTATGACCTGTCAGACAATATCTAGAAACAATTTGTTTGCGAGACTGTGCTAATCGCCTGATTTACAGGGTATTAGTACTTAAAAGCAATTCAGAAATGTGCATTGAGGGTTACTTGTTGGAATATAGAGAGGGCAGGGAGAGGTGGTACTGAAATGTGCATTTCTCTCAAATTCCCATATGAGCTGGGTGCCTGAAGTATCTCTGATAGACTGAGTAAAAACTGAGGGATAGAGAGAGAGGTCTTAGTGTGTTCTAGAAGACCTTTGCATCCCTAGGGTTTTTGTTCTTGTGTGTGTTTTGCTTTATTGCCTGACTGCTAATTTTGATTTCAGCAAGAACTTGGCTCTGTATGTAGTCCTTATCTTCTTTTTCCAACTCACCATGCGTCTGTAATAAATTTCTTCATTTATAAGACTTTTTCACAGATTTACAGATCTTCTCATTTTTAAAGCCTCTATTTCAGAGGGTATTTTGGGATGTGCAGAATTCTTAGAAGATAGTAAGCATTCATCAAGTGTTGGCTATTATGATCACCATGATTTATGACCTTGGTCTCCAGAGTACCTCACTGGCTCTAGCCTGGCAATGCTGAATGATGTGTTTTAAACAGTTGCTTTTTCTAAGTGTCTTAGTTTTTCATTTGAACGGTGGGAGCGGAGGCTGAAAGAGTGCTCCCATGAGCTAATTTACTCCCCAAATGTTGGTCACTACTTGGGCCAGCCAGAGCCCAAACCAGGAGCTAAATCCAGGTACCAGCTCCTGAGCCATCCACCATTCTTTTCCAGGGTTTGCATTAGTGGGAGCTGTAGCTGGGAGCTCACATCAGGTATTTTGAAGTGAATTACGGGTGGTGATAACCTTCATCTGAGCATTTTTGAGCCCTTTTCAGTTGAAGTTCCATGTGTAGTGGAAGTGTTTGCTACTGGAGAAAGTAAAGCAGAGAGGTTGTTTGGGTTAGTCCTGCACAAACTAGTGCTACTTAAAAAACAAACAACAAAAAGCACACCCTGGGGTATGATGGCTCAACTGGCTAATCCGCTGCTTTGTAAGCACCAGTATCCCCCATCGATGCTGATTTGTGTCTTGGCTGCTTTTCTTTCCATCCAGCACATTGTTTATGGCCTAGGAAAACAGTGGAAGATATTCCAAAGCCTTTGATACCTGCATCCATGTGGGAGACCCGGAAAAAGCTCCTGGCTTCAGATTGACTTATGTCCCACCATTGTAGCCATTTGGGGGGTGAACCAGTGGATAGATGATCTTTCTCTGTCTCTTCTTCTCTTTGTAAATCTGCCTTTCCAATAAAAATAACTCTTTTAAAGAGAACAACACCCACAACAAAAAGAACCTCCTTAAAAACAATATTTAGAGAACTTGTGCCCTCCTTACTTGTGTCATGGAGGATTTCTTGGCATTTATGTTACTGGCACATTATTCTTTTTAGCAGCTAGAAATGTAGACTTTTGAAGGTCGTTCTGTTTGAAAACCTGAAATTATATGTGGTAAAATTGGCAATGTATAAAAAAATATATATCTAAATGAGGCTGTATATGAAAGATTATACCCTGTTGTGTTTTGTATGATCTTAAAGAACTTTCCTGAATGTTATTGCTTCTACTAACACTGCTACTAATGAAAAAATAAAGCTGTTAATGTATTTTATTGCATTTCTCCTAAATTAACATTCAGATTTGTGTTTTTAAACTTTAATTTGATTGGACAGAGAAACAGGGCTTGTATCCACTGGTTCATTCCCCACAGACCTGGGAAGGCTTGGCTGAATGGAGCTGGGAATGTATCCAGGCCTCCTATGTGGGTGGCAGGAACTCAGCTACTTGAGCATTCCCTGTCATCCTCCCAGGGTGTGCATTAGCAGGACATTGAAATTGAAACAGCTAAAACACTGGCACTCTGATATAGGGTGTGGATGTTCCACCCATTGAATGGCTTCAGTGTTAGGCCAAAGTTCACCCTTTAGCATTTACATTGTGAACATCACTGATCTCCTTTCTTCTTTCTTCCTTCCCTCTCCATCTCCTTCTTCCCTCCTTTCTTAAGATTAACTTATTTTTATTGGAAAGGCAGGCTTACAGAGAGAAGGGAAGACAGAGAAGGAAATACATCTGCTGATCGACTCTCCAAATGACTGTAATGTCCAGAGCTGAGCTGATCTGAAGCAGGAGCCAGGAGCTTCTCCTGGGTCTCCCATGTGGCTACAGAGTCCCAAAGCTTTGAGCCATCCTCCACTTCTTTGTCAGTCCATAAGCAGGGAACTGGATGGGAAGCAGATAATCTGTGACATGAACCAGTGTCCATATGGGATGTCAGCACTTAGAGGTGGCGGATTTGTCAGTTCAATCATCACACCAGTCCCAATTTCACTGGTTTCTTGTGTCTCCATTGTGTATTATGTACTGTGGATGGAGGTTTTAGAGCATAGTGTCTGAAGAAAGAATATTTATGGCGTATTTCTATTATAGTCTTATCTGTAGCTCAGGACATTATTTGGCCAAGAGAAAAGTGTGTGTTTTTAACTTGCCTCTCTTAACAACTTTGTTTCTTTATTCTCTTTTCAGGGGATACAGTTACTATTGGAGATGTATCATACAAGTTGAAAATACCTAAGAACCCAGAACTTGTACCACAGAACTACAGTAAGAAATGCTTTTTTACGAATGAATAACTTTGAACTTTTCACTTGAGAACTGTTGAATTTATACAAACTGTTGAGAATAATATAAACTAAATGTGCTGAACCTTTACTTTTTTTTTAAAGATTTATTTTTATTATTATTATTTTTTTATTGGAAAGGCGGATATACAGAGGAGAGACAGAGAGGAAGATCTTCCATCCGATGATTCACTCCCCAAGTGAGCGCAACGGCCGATGCGCCCATATGGGATCCTGGGCGTGCAAGGCGAGGACCTTAACCACTGCGCCACCGTGCCGGGCCCTGAACCTTTACTTTTATCAGTACTGTGCCAGTGGTTGCAATAGTTGGATCTGGGCCATTCTAAAGCCATTCTAAAGCCGTGAGCTATGAGCTTACAGGTCTCCTACGCGGTTGGCAGGGACCCAAACATTTGAACCAACTTCTACTGCATTCCCAAGTACATTACCAGGAAGTTAGATCAGAAATAGAATCACTGGTATTGGAACCATGCCCATGTGAGATGCCATGGTGGCTTTGCCAACTGGTACCATGGTGCCAGCCTCAGGAATAGCAAAAGCTTATCCTAGATTATCCAACATTCAATAGAAACATGTCTTTTTCTTGCATGCTACTCTTTATTTTTTGCTTGGGATAAAATTTACATTAATAAAATAATATTAATGTAGGTCATAAATAAAATGTGAATAAAATGTAGATCAGAAGTGTTTGTTTCAATGAGTTTTGATAAGTTACAAATATACACAACACCTAAAATACTTTGTCATTTCTGCATTTTCTCTTTTATTCCCTCCCCTTGGAATCTACTGTTTTGTACTAGGAAAGATTAGTTTTGCCTGTACTCCAGCTTTACACAACTAAAATCATGCAGTGTGTGTGTGCATGCATATCTTGCTTTTTTTCTGTCAAGACAATAATTTTAAAATTCATCCATGTTTCTGTACCAGTTTTTTTGTGTTTGATTATGGAGTAATGTTCCATTGTGTGTGTGTACGTACACACATATATTAATACCCGTGTATATGTGTCTCAATATTGCTCCATGTCCCATGGCTTATTTATCCATTTTCTTGCTGTTGGATATTTGGCTGGCATCCATTGTTGGGTTATTATGAATAAGGAGTTTTGAACAGTGCTAAGCTTGTACTTCTTTTGCATGAAGGACCAGGGAGTTGAGTTGATATTACTGAAGTTAAATGCCTTTGTAACCATAAAGCATAGTGCCAGACAGTTCTCCTAATAGGTTGTGCTGTTTTACCCTTACCAGTAGTGATGTTCTACATCCTTGGCAATATTGATATCTTTACACATTCCACTAGGTATGAAAAAGTAACTAACTTATCATGGCTTCTGTTTTATAATGACTTAATTGGGATATAATCTATTAATCATGAAATTCATCTTTTTAAGTTAGACACTTCAGTGTCTTTTAGAATTTTTATAGAGTTGTGCAACCATATCATTGTTTTATTTGGTCTTTATTTTAACTTTTAATTCCAAATAGCTTAAAATTTACAAAATAAGTATTGTTTAGCTGAGTTCCCATATATACTCCACACTCAGCTTCCCCTATTAACATTTTATATTAATGTATTTGTCATAGTTTGCTAACTATACCAAACTTCCTATTTTAAAATGTGGACTCCCTGTATGTATTTCTGTCACCCCCTCCAGCCTCTAGGTTCAGATTGGGAGGTTTTGTTTTTTGTTGTTGTTTTTGTTTCAGCTCATATATATAAGGGAGGACAGGTGGTGCTTGTCTTTCTGTGGCTGACTGGCTTCAATTCACATGTCTACTCTAGTTCCATCCATTTCACTGTGTAACAGGGTTTCACTCTTTTTACTGGCTGATTAGTGTTATGTCACATTTTGTTTATTCATCTGGCGATGGATATCTTATTTGATTTCATGTCTTAGCTGTGGTAGACCTGGTGCAGCAGGTGTCACTTTGTCCTTTAGATATATATCTGGTAGTGGGAGTGCTGAGTGGCCTGGCAGTTTTATTTCTAGGTTTTAAAGAAGTCTCCGTGTTGCTTTCCATAGTGGCTGTGCTATTTACATTTCTTCTAATAATGGAAAAAGAGTTCCCTTTCTCTATATCCTCACCAACATTTGTTATTTTTTTTTCTTCCTTTGTTAATAGTCATGCTGACTAGGGTGAGGCGGTATCTCATTATGGGTTTGGTTTGCATTTTGCTGATTGCTAGCGATATTGAGCATTTAAAAATGCTTACTTATTTTTATTTGAAAGACAGAGTCACAGGGAGGGAGAGAGAGACACAGAGAGAGAAATCTTTCATCTGCATTTTCAGTCTCCAAATGGCTAGAATGGCTGGGACTTGGTTAGGCTGAAGCCAGGAGCAGTGAATTTCCAGGTCTTTCACATGAATGCAGGGACCCAAGGACTTGTACCATTCTCCCTTCTTTCTCTGTCCAGTTGTAGGTAGCTGGATCAAAAATGGAGTAGCTGGAGCTTGAATCAGTGCCCATGGGGATGCCAGCACTGCAGTGATGATTTTTGCATTACTCACCAGATAGGAAGGGTCAAGGACTAGGGGAAAGTGCATGAGACCATTGCTTCCAAATTTTCTCTTTCTTCCTCCTATATCTAGGGAAAGGTGGTAAGTTAGGGGAGAAGCTGCACCCAGCCTCCCAACTGCATCAGTATCCAGGGATGGGGATTGGCCACCCGGTGTCATCCCAGAGTCCCTGATGTGGAGCATGCTTTGGGGTTCCACTTAAGTGGTTTTGATTGTTCTAAAATGCTGTCAATCTCACTGATCCAAGGATGTAGAAATCCTTCCAAGGTTGATTTGCTGACACAGTCCACACAGGGTCTCTATTCTCCCAGATATTAGCTGTCGTTGCTTGGCTGAGGTAGTTGACCAATTTGTTCTGCCCTCCTTCCTCTATGATGGTACCACATGTCCTCTGCAGTCCCCAATGGACTGCCTTATCCTCCATGTGCATCTGGGTATGCAATCCACCTCATACCCATTGAAGAGGCCAGGTTCTGACACATGCACTCCATGGTCATACCACTGATCCCCAGCATGAGAGCCCCTGAAGTCCCCCTACTGGACTCGCACCGCCAACACCAGGACAACCACTACTGCCACCCTTCTCTCCCTGCCTCCTCCCGTTTTCACGTGTGCTGCTGGGTGCTGTGGCCTAACATGGCATGTCCTGTCTCACCTCACCTCACCTCGGCATTTACTTGTGTGTGCTTTAGGCTGGCCTGTCCTGATCTGCCTCCAGTTCCAGCTTATGCTGGCAGGTGTTGCAACCTAGCCCAGCCCAGCAGCTCCCAGTTCCAGTTCTTATGTCGTTTGGCTGGTGTTGTGGCCTGTCTTACACCCCATCCTGGTTCTCAGATCTGGCAGTGGGTGTTATGAATTGGCCCAGCCTGGCCTGTTCTCAGATGTGATCCACACATATATTGGCAGGTACCATAACCTGGTTCTTGAGCTCACCTGCAGGGACTGCATTCTGACAGAGGAGTTCTACTTGTAGTAGTTTTAAGTTTTTAAATTCTATGTGAATTTAAAAATAATTTCTGTCACCAGTGATATTCTCTGAAGAGACATGGTTATCATACTTTCCTGTAATTCTTTACTCTTCATTTAATTCTTTAAATAGAGTTGTAAAAGCTGAATTTAAAGTCTCTAGTATTACTTGTCTTTCTTCCTCAGAGAGTTTTTATTGCCTCTCTTCCTCTGTGTATGAGCCATACTTTAGTCCTTCATTTTCGTCATTCTTCTTGTTGGAAGTAGACATTTATGAATGGTATGACGTGGTAGTGCTGGGAATTGGAGCCATCTTTTCCTAGAGTTTGATGTCGCCCCTTGTGTTTTGCTATTTATTTGTTCAGTGATTTCCTAGTATTATTTCTTCAAAGTCTTTATTCTTTGTCACATGTAGCCATTGACGTTTCTGCCTGATCAGCTAAAGGAGAGCTAACGACCAGACATATTACATAAACACCTTGAGCTAATGAGTCCCAACGACTTTGCTGCAAACCATTATGTGCAGGTTAGGCTATTATTTCAGTGCTCTGAGGTCACTAACAGTTGTGTCTTCTTCCTGCATGTGTATGCCGTGAGGATCAGCAGAGGTGGGACATGAGGTCCTTCTCGGGTCTCAGCACTTTACTGGACCTGTGAGTGTTTTTCTAAACCATAGGCATACACCGGAGCATTTTCAAAGCCTCCAGTGAACATTCCTGTTCCGATTATCCTATTGTTAGGTTCAACTGGTTTCCTTGCCTCAGGAGGTTGAGATGTTAAACATTTGTTGTTGATTTTTTAAAAAATGGTTTATTCTTTGCACACAGTGAGCTCTGAGTGGATCAAATAAAGAGACATTCTAAGAATGGAGCCTTTCAGCAAGCTGCCAGACAAGTCAGGCAGGGACAGTTCTCCAGGGATGGGGCTTCTGGGGAGTTCCAATCTGTTCTCTCCCTTCAGTGACTGCTAGCTGCTGGTTTTCATTGTGATGATGAACATTCGGTTCTCAAGACTGTCACAGATCTGGAGAGGTGGGGATGGGATGGGGGCAAGTCAGAACTCCACGAAGCAACTGTCCTGACTGAGGCTTCTGTCTTTTTCTGATAAATGCTAAACATATTATTGACACTCTTTTGTTAGTAATTTCCACAGTTCTGAATAAGTTGATTTTGATGATGTTTGTCGATGTTATGTTTTTACATGGAAGAAGGGGTTTTCAAAAGTCCTATTCATTGTCCCTTCTTGGCATGCTTGTCCTGTCATTGTGGCTTTAATTTGCATTTTCCTGAGGAATAATGGTGTTTAAGATATTTTCCTTAATGGATTTTTGCGTTCTTTTTGTGAAATGTCTATTAAAGTCACAAGCCCATTTTAAAAACTTGAATTATTACCATTTTATTATTGAGTTGTAAAAGTTCTCCATATTATTGTGGATGAGGGTTCTTTGTCATAAATCTATATTAAATAGTTTTTTCC